TGGGTGACCCAAACGATCATGCAAAAGCTTGGGTGACAAAACAGCAACACAAGATACAGGTGGTTGCATTTCAAAATAGTAGAGACCTCCAGATTCATGTCCTGCGCCAATCTTCCGACCCGTACCACGTTCCTGAATAACAAAAGATTCAGCATTAAAGGTTACTGAACAATTTAAGGATTTGGTTAACTGGCTTAAAGAGATTAAGTTGAAAGGACAATTAGGGATAAACAAAACAGAGTTTAAATTTAATGAGGAAGACAGAGAGACTTGACCGATTCCTTTAGGAGCAATTCTGGATCCATCTGCTAAGGTAATAAGGTGAGGTGATTTAAGTGGGGACATGGAAGAAAACATAGAATTATTACCAGTTATGTGATCAGAGGCTCCTGAATCAATGATCCATGGACTTTGATTTGCAGTTGAATGAGAAATACAAGCTGTAGAAACAGTAGTGGTAGAGGAAGATTGAGCTTGATTCATAGATTTCCATTGAAGATATTCCTAATAGTCATCTTCAGGAACCTTCATCTCAGATTTTCCTAATTTCTCAGACTTGGACAGATTTGCTATCTTCTCTGGAAAACCATGAAGAGAATAACAATTCTCTTGGGTATGACCCATCCTCTTGCAGTATGAGCATTGAGGACGACCACTTCTACCTCCTCTTCCTCCTCGATTTCCACGACCACCTCTACCCTGACTTGAAACCATTGCAGAAGCTTCAACAATTCCACCAGAGTTTTCATTCTTCACTTCTGTAGGGACACGAAGAAGTCTAGTTACTAGGCTGTCCATTGAAGGAATCTCGTGGCCAGTCAGAATCTGGTCACGAACATGATTGAAGTCTGGGTGCAATGTTCTCAGGATCAGCACCATATATAGCCTATCAAGTTTTTTATTCATTCCCTCTAATGAATCATCCGTCAGGAACATTTTTAGTTCTTCTACAGCAGATTGAGCTTCAGCAATGTGAGACGTCATTTCATGATTAATTTGTTTCAAGGATGCTATTTTCTGAGTAGCATCATATAGCCGTTGAATATCGTTCGCATAAATATTTTGAGCCTTTTTCCAGAAAGAACAAGCACATTATTTTGGTAGTCATTGAAATCCGTAGCACATTTCTCTTCTTTTTTTTTCGTTATATAAATAGCATTGAAATAGCATTGGTAGTCACGTGTATATATATATATTCTGAGAAAAACTTGTTTAATTATATTAAAATAGGTATATAGGAAGATCTAGCGTGAGTTGAACCTGTGACCTATACCTTATAGTCTTTATGTATAACTGCACAAACCATTGAGCCATTCCATTTTATATGTCTGTTGTTTTGTTATCTAATTATAATAAGATATTATAAATATTTATAATATAATTGGATATTATACATATATATATATATATATATATATATAGTTTACTAAATATAAATAA